CTCTGTCACATTCTGTGCATGCCACTGAATTGGCTGTTGTTAACCTATTCGGCATTGTTTGCATGCATATTATGCAAAAATCTTCATCTACAGTCGATGTTCTGCGTTGTCTTGTTCGTTTAGGCGGTGGCTTTGGTTTCGTACTTGCCGATTTCTTCGCTTTCTTCTGATTGTTCAAAGTGCTTGCTGATTTAGCTGCTTTTTCCGCTTTCTTTTGAGCTGCTGCATCACGTTTCACTTTCTTTGCTCTTAAATCATCAAGACTTTCGGGAGATGTAAGAATCGCACTTTTCATTGGCTGACGTCCACGTTTTTTTGATGCTGGTTTTGGCGTTGCTGGTTTTAATGGTCCAACATCAGACAAAACAGAAGCTAAGCTCGATGCACGAGATAACGGGGTTGATTCACGAGATAACGGGGTTGATCCACGCGGTACCGGTGTTGTTGATGCAGAGGTATCGGATGTAGAGACTTCGGTTTCAGCTCCCACATCTGGTGCTGTTTCAGTGATGAGTTGAAAACGTTGGCATTCATCTGGTATTTCTTCATCGTTGTTCTCAATAAATGGTGCCTGAACATAATCGGAATCAGTGAAAATGTTCGGATTAAATGGCCAGATGCCGGTCGCTCTGAATCCAGAGAGTATGTTGACTGGTGTCAGCGCCAAATAGAGAGCATTGCGAACCAGTTCAGGAATGTTAAACATTTCGATTTTTTCTTGTGTGTTCCTTATCCAAGCTCTACATTCTGCCTCGTAGAAGCTCTTGAGTGGACCATAAACCGAAACGTCGAGCGGCTGTAGCTTGTGGCTACAGTGGGGCGGGGAAGACAATAAGGTTATACCATTCGCAACTGCATAATCGAGTGCTTCGACTGAAAGATGCGAGCTATGGTTATCTATGAGCAACAACACAGGATTTTCTTTGGATGCGTGCGAATGGTTATGGAAATGTCGCATAAAAAGCATGAATTCCGGCTGTTTCATCCAGCCCGACTCATTAGCATAGCCGACGGCGCCCGGTGTGCAGTGCGACATATAATGTTTCTGCATTTTTTTTTCGGAAACAAATACAATGGCGGCATAGAGTTACCACTAGCGCTGACAGCAAGAGCCATTGTAATCATTTGACCTCTTTCGCCGGAAGTAATCTGGCCGACCTTTTTGATGCCACGTATAGCGATGATTTTTCCAACGCTGCCAGGAACGGTACTAAATCCAGTTTCGTCCATATTCCAAATATTTCCCGGAGCATACTGAGTGGCAATGGTAACAGCATCCAAATTATTGAAAAATAAACCAACATTTTCCCGGTTGAATGCCTTGACTCGATTTAAGCTGGTATTTTCCGGTTTTCGCAATGACAGTGACTTGTGCCGGGCCATAAATCCATAATACCACTTTATTCCAGCCGTTCCATCGGTTTGCCAATTATCCGGTACCGGAACTTGGAGTTTAGCTGCATATTGATATGCAAGCAGACGCAATTCGTTGATGCTTAGTCCGTAGTAGTGATTGGCGCACTTCTTGATGTATACAACTAATGCATCTTCTTGTTCAGGGGTGAAAATCTACACAATTTGAAAAAAAAAAATTAATAAAATGGAACAATTGATTTTATTTTTCCATCATACCATTTGATATGTGCCGTATGTTGGCAAACATTGACCAAAAACTTCCATTTCGTCACTGCTCATTGCAGCCATATCCTTTCCAGTCGCTTCAAATTGCTGAACGTAGCGTCTTAATTTCGTTCTTGGAATTCCAGACGTTGTTGCCACTGTACGCAATCCTTGATTAGCGATTTTGATTGCCTTTAACGCACTGATTAAGACTTCAGGATCCTTATTAGATACGCCTCTATCAGATTTCCGTTTGTAATAGTTATACATGGTGATAACGTCACTAAATATATTAAAACATGAATAAATAGGATAAATGCACTTTAAAACGTCATCGGATGGCATTAAGCATGATGTTCGAGGATAAAATTGAGATCTCAGTACAAAACATACAAAATGTATGGGGGTCCATCTTAAAGAATGAAATGCGGTCCATCTTAGGAAAAAGCCGCCATTTTGACGTGACATTGCAAAAAAAAGTTCTGATGCAATATCACTGAAATTTTATTTCCAAATTACAAGATAGCGACTTAAAGAACACATTAAATATATTTACCATTAAAAAATGTCGAAAAATATTCACAATGTTACCCACAGCAAAATAAGGAAATTACACTTTTTTTGGGGAAATTTTAGTCGAAATTTTTTTTACACGCTCAGAGTACGTCTTTTCACTTCGGAACCACATAGAAAACTGAATCACGGTTAAACATTAGCATGACGGTGATCAATTTGACATTTGAACGTTAACTGTCAAAAATGTTCTTAGAGGTCCATCTTAAGTAAGGGTCCATCTTAGGGAATGTTCCCTTAATGATTCGAAGATTTATATGTTGTTTGCATCTGATTATTGGTGCTAATATTTTATATTAGTTCAAGTTGAAGTTGAAATGCGTTTTAAATGTGAAACATATCTGAAAATTATTGGAATTCTCTAACAACTTGCATGCTTATTTTTCACAAGTTTCATGAATGAGTCAAAATAATACATTCTGTTTGAATACCAAAACGCAGACAGTTTAAACCACAGAATTTAATTATATTTTCTAGAATATATTTTAGTGCACTAAATTCGTGTGAATATACACACAATAATTATAATTCTGAACACAAACACGGAAAAGTTGTTTCGATATTTTGGAATTTTAAATGGAAGATCGGATTATTGGGAATTATTTTATGAATAATTACATATTTGACATTATAAAAAGTAAAAGTCAAATACAAACATGAGCACAGTTCAAAAGCATAAGAGAAAATTAGTCTGATACACCTACTAGCTACTATAATTTCATATCATAAATTGTGGAAACTACTGATTTTAAGTGTGATTTTAAAAATGAAATTTTTTACGTTGATGTGAAGGAAACACGATTACGCTATCACTGAGTTCATGTGATGGAAATAATAAATGACAACGTTTTTGAATTTTTAATGTGATATAAATAGGCAAAGACGTATGTGATTAGGCATTGTGCATTGAGGAACACTGAACACAATTGGCACTAGACAATGATAATCAACGAGCATAACTGTAATAGTTTCATTATTCTCCTAAATTGCTATTTTTTGTACAATTCAGCATCACTTACTTTTTCCGCTATTTTTGTCATTCACGAACATGCTTGATTTTTAAAGAAAAGACAAACAGGCAATATGCAATGGGAGTCAATTATGTACGGCATGGTTACAACATCAGTTCCATTGTTGTACACAATTTGCAATGTCGTTTGTGCTCATTGAACGAAACATAAAACCGTGCAACAAATGTTTGAAATCAAGATTTCCCTGAAAATACAAGTAGCTTCTTTCCTTAATATAACATTTTACAATGAACAGTGTCTGTGTGAAATCTGATTGACTGACACGGCGGCTTGTTCCCCCAAGCAATGCTTCCACACATTTTACACGTTATATTAACATCATTGCCGAACTTTCGGAAAACTTCATAACAACTATTGCAAAGGTTCAAGAATCATGAACTAGACACGTTTTCATTTGTACGGATGGTATAATCTTCATACAATTTCATTATACTGAGTTGTCGAGTCGAATGAACTGAAAATGTAAGGTACACATTCTAAATTCGACTTTATGAATACAATGAGATAATTCAATAGCATAATCAAAAATCAATTTTTTTCAAATTCTAAAACTGAACGATTATGTTGACATCTGTTTGTTGAAATTCAAATCGGCTGATAAAACATTAATGTGATGACTAAAAACCTTTGATTCATCAATTTTCAAAAATGTTTAGGAAATATGGAACACTTTTTTCAAAATGTAACCTTGTGTGTGTCCAAAGTGCCGTTTTTGAATAAATTTGTGTACAAAGGCAATTTGTAATTTATCCTTATTTTAGTGAATTAGTAGTTATGTAAAGCAAAAATACGGTGTAAGGCATGTTTGAGTTATCTCCCATACGACAATTTAGGGATTCAGCACTAAAGTGATAGGGAAATCAGAGTTCTATTGTTCGTGAACCTTTTTTTTCTACAAAAAATAGAAGTCCAATATGAAAAAAACATCAAAAAGGCATATTTTGGGGCAAAAACGAAATTTTAAATGTAAAATATTGCGTGCTGAAAAAATTGGTCGAACTACAATGACATTTTTTGGTATCCTAGGCCGATCAGACGGATTCGAGTGGGCTCTAAATCTATTGCTGGTGTGGGTATAAGGTGGATATGAATCGGCCTGGCCGATTCGGCCATAAGTCGTTGCAATTGAGCTCAGTTCATCATATAAGCAATTTTGTATGCACAATTCAAACACATTTCAGCACTAAACACGCCCAATTGATATTTTAACATGACAAATGTGCTGAACCATGAGTTCTGGTGTGGTACGACCTCTATTATTTCGACGTAAAATTAATAGATGGCTTAGGTATTTGGAAATTTTTAGAAAAGGAGAAAAATTTACGTTTGCAAAGGGATGTAAATTGGTCTTGCTGAGCCACTTTTTTTTAATGAACTGACTCTAGCGAAGTGACGATGTTTCAACATTCTTTCGGCACCCCGCATGATAGAAAAGACTGAAAACAATATGAATCATGAACTCCGTTTTTTATCACGTACAGTCAAATTTTAATATTACAAAAATGACGATTATTCAGTTCCATGTAATCAGCGAAAAGAAACGAAGTGTACACTGTGCCGTGTACACTGTACTTGTACACTTTCGTATTAAGGTTAGAAAGGTTCTTCATTCACCTCAGAAGACTTCACATTTCACTTACTAATTACATTGGTGAGCATAATATTCGACCTAGAAACAATGGAGTTTAATTCATTTCGATCATTTGCGAACATCGCTTTAATCAGGGCATTCTCAATTGAAGTCAACACAATGCAACCGAAGTTAATTCAAGAAAAATTTGATGATCAATAATAAGTTTTAACAATTTCATTTAATCATAAAAGTTTGAATTCAAAACCATACAGCATTAATTTAGAGAAACAAGTTTGGATTCGAAGGTTGTTTTCGGTTTGTTTTGCCGTACACATCTGTAAACTAAATCATTTAAAAACAATCTATACGATGCGTCCATTAGATTTATATGTGATATTATTAGTAGTGATCTTTCACTTTCGAATAGAAGAATAACAAACTTCCGACAGATTTACTGAAGCCAAGTGAATTAAGACAAATGCGACAATAAAAAAGTGGGTCAAATCATCTGTGAAATCAGAATCTTGACGTGACGTATGTAAGTAGTGAAAGACTTCCTTCAGAAATATACAGTGAAAACGGTGATAAAGTGTAGCTCAGACAACCGACATGATTAATGACTTAATTTGCAAACAAAGGTATAGGTATAATATAGCGGCGACTCGTAAATCGCACGAATGTGTGAATATTCAATAACGTTAAATTTCTTTGTTTGAGGTGTAAAGAGTTTGATTTCACTTTGCTCATGGTTTTAGCATCTTAACATTTTCTTCGTACTCAGCTACTCTCAATGTTGTGAACCTCAGAGCACACTTCTCTTCGCATGTATGTTGCACAGTGAAAAGATTGTACCACACACAATTTTACTTTTCCGAAACTTTGTTTGTTAGGGAAAGTATTTATTAAATTTATCTTGCGTATTTTGTGTTTATACGGTTATATTCGTTTCAGCGACTAGGAGGAGAGAAAAAAAACTGTCGATGTCTAGTTTGATCGAGAACATACCATAATAAGTCCATGAAATTAATAGTCGGTGAGTGAATATTTAATTGGATTTTTGATATTGGTCTAACAATATTAGTCTCTCATTATAATTTTGGTTCAAATTGGAAATTTTTCAAAAATATAGCGGGAAAAAATATGAAGAAAATTATACTAAATTTGTTCAAAACGGAGTTTTATTAAATCGGGATTTTGAATAAATTATGCGAATTATGTGTTGTCATTAAATCGGGAATGGGAAGCCCAAACAGTTAGCCTATTGTTGAGAATAAAAATTGGACTTAATCAAATAAATGAATAAATTTTCAACGAAAATTTGGGAATCTACTAAATTGATTACAACCTTGTAAATGTAAAGTAGGTTTTCGATACTCCAAAAATTGTACCATACCCGAAGAATGTTATGTTAAAAACCATAACCTAATGCCTAAACCTGAAACAAACTCCATGCATATGTTGTCTATGACAATATATTTATTTAATTAACACGTTTTTACAGCAACACTTCTGGTCTACAATGTGGAGTAGATGGTTGATTTCATCGCTTCAAATGCTTCTACTATGTGAACTAGTTAATCTGATGCCAAACAGTAACAGGACTTTAAAAATTAATCCAAAGCCATGTACAGCAAATGGTTATGGAGGCACATGTATGTGGGGTATGTATTTTTTATGCTTATTTGTTTGCTGTACCACCACATGTAAAAATGTCACGAGCACTATTTTTAAAATGTGAATTTTACGTCTGAGTCATTTGATGTTCCTGCTCGATATTTGGAATTAAGTTCAAATCAGAGATTACTATGGGATATTTTTGTTCAAATGAGATAAAAATATCGCATAAAAATAACAGATATTTTTCACGCGTTGTTCAACGTTCAACGTTCAACGTTCAACGCGTTCAATGTTCTGAGTTCAAAAATATCTTATATTTTTCGCGCGTTGTGTTCAGCGAAACGCATAAATACACAATAGCGATTCTGCACACACAGAGTCGCTGTTTTTTCGTTATACTCTACACTCACGATGAGCTGCGCGATGCATGGATTTATAATGGCAAGATGAACAAGTGCGTTTGTAAAGTGAGCGCGTTCACTCCATTTCAGCAGGTTTTGGATGAATTTAATTTTGCAAATTTATTTATTTATTTATTTATTGATCTAGTACAGACCCTTTTACAATAATCGCTTATCTTTAATAGCTTTCACATATTTGTCTCTTTCCTCATTGTTCATTGCAATTTACTTTCGTTAAAATGCCTAACTGCTGACCAAAAGGACTGATTTTTCAAGTAGTCGCTTGTGTATGTCGGTATTTTTAATAATTCTATGTTACGTGTTGGTCTATTGCTGTTCCATACCAATTTCGATTTTAAAAATTCTGATTCTAAATTTTCATGCAATATATCATATATAAACACACAACAGGCATATACATATCTACTGTGAATCGAATCAATATTTAGTTCTGAGCAACGGTCATCATAGGGACGAATTGTGTAATTATTATTCGCATTGGGATATTCTTTGAGTGCCATCATAGTAAATCTTTTCTGAACTCCCTCAATAAAATCTTTATCTGTGGCTGTAGAAGGATACCAAACAGCGATGCCAAACAATAATTTACTTTTTACGAATGAGTTAAATAAAACAACAAGAGTGTCAACATCGAATTTTTTACCAGCTGTGCGTTTTATGAATCCCATTGTTGAGTTACATATGGCAACTAATGATTCAATGTGTTTTTTAAATGTTAAACGTTCATCTATTCTTATACCTAAATCCCGAAAATCACTAACTCTATTCAATAAGACATCACTCATGGTATATTGCCCGGTTAGTTTTCTTTCACTTCTGCTCATAGTGAGAACTGCACATTTCAAAATATTTAGCTCCAGTTTATCTTTGCACCACTTTATTAATTTATTGATTTCAAGTTGAAACAAAACTAAGTCTTCATTGCTTTTTATTTTCATTACCACTTTGCAGTCGTCCGCAAATAATAGAATTTTAATATATTTCTCAAATATTGTCGGTAAATCATTTATGTAAATCAAAAACAAAACAGGCCCTAAGATGCTACCAGCTGGGACACCTGTGTGCATTAAATAATCATTGGAGAGGCTATTATTAATTTTCACTCTCATCGATCTTGAATTCAAATATGAAGCTATCCATTTAATTATGTCTGGGTCGAACTGCATGTCTGTCATTTTTCTCAACAAAATTGCATGATCGACTTTGTCGAATGCTTTAGTGAAGTCAGTGTATAAAATATCAACTTGGCATTTCTCCGCAAATGCTTCATTTGTAAATGTTACTAGCTCCATGAGGTTTGTGTTTATTGATTTTCCAGGGACAAATCCGTGTTGGCAGTCGCTTATACGATTTCTAAAGTGGGACATTATTTTATTGTACATTATTTTCTCAAACAATTTGAATAATGAAGGTAGTAATGCAATACTCCGATAATTTTCGACATTTTCTTTTGGTCCCTTTTTAAATAATGGAATAACGTGTGAGATTTTCACAGAATTTGGTAATGTGCTAGTTGTCAATGATCTATTAAACAAAAATGTAATCGGTTTCGCCAGTGTAAATCTGCAGTTCTTTATGATAATCGGCGAGAAATGGTCAACACCGATACCTTTATTTGTCGGGAAATTTTTCATTGCATCATAAACGTCTTTTTCAGTTACAACAGTTTGTGTTTGATTATCCAATTCGTTCACTATTCTATTTATTTCGATGTCATTTTTATCCCCACAAAAGACTGACGAGAAAAATTCGGCGAACAGACTCACTATTTCTGATTCACATTTTCCCTCTTTGTCTTTGTATTTCATTTTTGATTCAAATGATGTTATTGTTAGTGTAATGATACCCACGCGCAAACGACGGCACAAGCGATACACACAGAGACATTGTGTTGACACACGAAGAGTGTTCAAAGGAAGAAGTGAGCGAAACATGTGCATGCACGCTCCGCGCAGCTCATCGTAAGTGTGAAGAGTATAACGAAAAAACAGCGACTCTGTGTGTGCAGAATCGCTATTGTGTATTTATGCGTTTCGCTGAACACAACGCGCGAAAAATATAAGATATTTTTGAACTCAGAACATTGAACGCGTTTAACGTTGAACACAACGCGTGAAAAATATCCGTTATTTTTATGCGATATACCTATCCCATATGAAAAAAAATATCCCATAGTAATCTCTGGTTCAAATTGACTTCAATTTTGATACTTTTCTCTTGTTTTTTATTGTTCTGTTTTTCATAAATGTTTAATTCTCATCCAATGATAAACATCGATCTCTATTCCGTGCGAAGTGTGGGAGTGTATCAAGTCAGATGGACAACACATTGGCATGTGTGTTGATTCATTTATGTTCGGTTCGTGTTGTGCTCATAATTTAACCGAAAATATTGTTTTGACACAACAACAACAACACATTGATTTCAAGCCTCCTCTCAGGAAACCTAAACCACCAACCACAACAAACACATCCAATCGACCAATGTTAGGGTAATATATCTTTTTATCTTTTCGTTGTAGTTTTTTTCTTCTATCGTTTAAAAATAAATTTGCACTGCCCTTCTTTAACAGTGGTACAACTACTATAATACATCGACCACATGGTGACAGTATGTTGATTATTCGTCCATCAGTAAACAAAAATAGACCATTACAAACGGCGGATAAATACTTTACAAAGAAACCAACTGTAGCTCAAACGACGAACTTATGGATAAATTCACACAATTTAACAAACGTGATAACCGATTTAGATGCTGCGTCCAGTTCATCAACTGGTAAATATTTTTTCAACAATTTTGTTGCGTTCTCATTTAATCGTCAATTTATTTATTTTACACCGCCAAAAAACTGGCTGAATAATTAGTTTTGCAGGAAAATGACTCCAAGAGTCATGAAAAACCTGATCTTTTGATTATAATACATAATGGGATATAGTTTGATTTTACATAAATATTGGTTCTTGACTAGGCAAAAGAATAACGTAATTTATGAATAAGCGAATGACCAAACATGAAAATGTATAATGAAAGCCGATTGTCAACGGTTCAAGATAATCTAATTACACGTGTGAAAAAAAAGATAGACTAACTGGAGTGTTAAACATTAGTGCCGACTTCAATGACTGCAAAAGTCATCGTTCAGTTAATCAAGTAGATGGTAAATTGAGGAGAAGTTTTACGTCCAATCTAAACAAGTGCCTGTTGGTAGATTTGAATTTACAATTCAGGTCGAGACCAGAAGATATAAGCAAATTAAATAATTCTTTGTAGAACAAACATTATTATTATTATTCTGCACCGTGCAGCGTTTCTTCGCCAGGGGTGGTTTATTTAGTATAAACATTATTTTATATTTACAATATTTACAATTTGATAGTTTAAATATTTCATTTTACTCTCTCCAAATTCTGCTTCTTTTAAAATATTCGGTAACTCTATGTTTGACAGTATTTGTATTTGTGTTAAGATCAATCAAATAAGTATCACAATTTGGAATCGTAGTAACATTGCATTCATTAGGTAGATTAGGCGGTTTGATAGGAACAAAATATTTATAAAATTCATTGTATGTCATCAGCATATAATTTATAGGCTCGAACTTTGAGTAATCACGATGACGCATTGGTAATGATAGGAAATTTGAGTTTCTTGTCCCATGTCGCGATGTTCTAATATTTATTTTGCTCAAAATGTGTTTCGATGATGTATGTCCACACATCACATTATGAACGAGTGATATTTGGGCTACGTTGACTCGCTCAATTTGCTCGTTGCCAATTGAATACTTGAAGTTGAATTTCATGTCTCCACGATAAAATGACACAAATTTAGTCTTTGACACATTCAATTTTAGCTGATTCCGATTAAAGTATTCATCAAGCTCATTCAAATCCGCTTGCAATTGCAGACAATCATCATAGTATCTAATATGCTTCCACAGGCGAGTGTCATCAGCGAACGACTGAAGAATTGAGTCCCTTATGTGTTTTGGCAAATCAATGATGAACAACAGGAACAATGTAGCACCAATCGGGTATCCTTGTCCAGTTCCCGATGTAATGTCAATTGGGCTCGACATATCATTATCCAATTTCACAATCTGTTGGCGACCATGCAAATATGACTTGATCCATTTGAGTAATTGTTCATTTAGTCCCATAATAGCCAATTTGCGGATAAGTAAATCGACGTTGACCGAGTCAAAGGCCTTTGCAATATCTAGGTATATTGCATCAGTTTGTATATGGTTTTCCATGCCCAATATTGCACATGATGTAAACTCAGCTAAATTTGTTATTGTTGATCTTCTTTTCATGAATCCGCGCTGACTGTCATCATTGACATAAAATAATTAGTTTCAAATATATATATTTTATAAGTAAATAAATAATAGGTCCAATAAAATCACCAACTTAATGGATGGCTATATCACAGTCAATGTTGTTAACTATATAAAAGATTTTCTAAAGATCACAAATGAATATCAGTGTTTCTATACATTTAATAGAGATGTAACTAGTACTAAATAAATTGTCAATATTTTATATTGAATTTTTGGCTTTGTTCACTGCGTATCGACGAGATGAAGTTTGCGCGACTGGTGGAATTCTTGAACTGATCAACCACCTTGTTTGCACACTTGCACATTTGTGGCACCTGAGCTCTGATGTGCTTGTCCATGAGCTTGTCCTTGATTTTTTGGTCATCAGTGTGCCGTAAAGTCCGTACGCCCACTCCGATCGCTATGTCGTTGTGTACATTTCTGTTTTAGATCGCATTTTAAATACAAATGTGGAAAATATAATTTAAAGTCTTTTCTTGTAATAATGATACGTTTTGTGATGGTATTCAATGTTCACAATATACGGTAAAATGTTGATTTGAAAATAGTATCACTTCAAAATGACTTTTTACTAACGGCCAAGAAAAATCCAATACTAACATTAATATTCAGGTCATTTTGCATTTCAATAGATTAATAGATTGAATAATTTAAATGAAACTGTAATCAGCAATTACTAACTCAGATTATAATGAACAAATCATGATTATTAAAATTATTGAAACATATCACAAAATTAGGTTTATGGAACCAGGATGCACACACAACACAGTGGCAGGTAACAACTCAGCCAAATTTCGTTACAAAGCCTAAGCCAACGGAAAAACTGCCATCCCGCCCAAAACCAAAACCAACGAAGAAACCAATTGTTTCTGCTTTACCGCATATTGTGAAGCGACCAACTTTAGCGTCTACAACGACAACAACGATGAAAACAACGGCTGTTTCGAATTTATTTTCTCAATCAACCAAACCAAAACCAACCGAGGTATTATTATTCACAAGAATTGCATGAGTTGATAAATAGTGTTTGCAGATTTTATAACCTATGAAAATAGCAATAAAAATCAAAAACATAAAACAAACAAACTATTCATCACAAAAGAATATATGAAAGCATAGAGTAAACATCGATCCGTAAACACGTTATTTTTTTTCAAATTTTATTAATATTGTTCAGATATTGATATACAAAGTGAATTGTCCGCCCATTCTCATTCATTTGGATCATTTCTCATGTGGATAATATTTTATCTCGATGAGTTCATTGTATGCTTATGCTTATGCTTTACAACGTGAAATCAACAATGCACACAAATCTGCAACGTTGGAATCAACGCCATTTACCGTTAAAGTTCGATTTTCTGTTCTCTTTCTCTTTGTTTGTTTCGATACTGCTTTATATTCAGATGCATCGCCAGCTGTGTGCTTTCGGCTTTTACTTTGAGCGAATTATTGTTATTACATTTCCATTTTCATAATTTCTTCTTCCTTTCTTTCTCGCTTCTTATGGTTTATGTAACACTTGATTTGTTTCGCTTCGTTTGCCCATTCCATCTGGCGGCGCATTCAAAATAAAGCAAAATATCATTAACCGGTTGACCGATCGTCTTAAAGAATTTACTCAGTTTCCCCGTTGCGCTAAACCTTGAGATAAGTTCGAACATATGGATACGTTTGGCATGTGTTTACAATTTACATATTAACAGTAGCATTCTATACAGGGTGTAAAATTGCGACTATCAACGGCTTCTGTACTTTTTGCTTAATCATCAATGCAAAGTGTTTAAAATTGAAATTTCGTACATTTTATTATGTATTCAGAATTTACTAAATTCAATTTAGTCTTAGGAGGATTGATTTGAAGAGCAATTAAGGAACTTGCCGTATTGTGGAACTTTTTTTCGTCTTTTTTTCTAAATGTTACCTTCGTATTGGCCAATACCACTATTTTAATTTTATCATTGGTATTTTTACATTTTATGGTTTTTGAGCGAGAAGTTGCGTTCTGTGTAAAGTACAGATAAATCCCGTGTATAATCCTCCACTTGTATTGTTTTTACATTGAAGGGCGTTGCATGTATCTTAACATTCATAATACAAATTCAATACGAGTGGAGACGCCCTATGAAAAATGGCACAAATTGTTAGTGCTACGGTTAATCTGTACTTTATTCTGTAATGTAGTGTAAATTCATAGTGTATGAAAAACACTATGGTTTTCATTATTATTCTGCATCATACAGCGTTTCTTCGCCAGAGGTGGTTTATTTGATATAAATTTTTGGTTGCATATTTACAATATTTATAATGTATTCATGCTATGGTTCAATATTCATACTATGGTTTGCATTCCTCTATACTAAGCATTCCAGATTTTTTTTGGTGACGATCCGGACCGGGCGAAATCCGGGCGATTAGCTTTGAAATTTTCGCTCGAAAATCCGGGCCAAATTCAATTTTTTGCCATTTTTGGCACTCTTAATGCCTGGATAAATATACTATATTCATCGTTCCATTTACAACCACAACCGCCTGGCATATTCACCTTATTTTCGTTTGATTGAACTGAACACAGTGGGTACAAAATGCAAACTAATGTGCATTCGTCGCTCATATTGCTTTCTTACTAATTGTTTATCGAACACAATTACAATAATTGATTCGTTGAGAATGAGAACAGCGTATACAAGAAGGGCCAAACAACTACATAGAAAAAACGCTGTGTACCGTTTAGTTTTGCATATAATTTGGTGCATACTTAGAAAAAATGTTTATTTATAATATTTAACCCTTGTCCGCTGTTCCAATAAAATCACGTATCCGTTGCTACAGTGTCGATTTGACACTGTACATAAAAAATCCAAGAAAAATTGTAAATATTCATAAAATCTTGGTATTTCTAAATGAAAATCTTCGAATGTTTATTATTTCTACAACTAATACAAAGATAATCGTATTTGATGTCGTTGTTATAACTTGTTAGTGCGATTTGAATGGCACTGAATGGTCTTGGAAAAAATAGAAAAAAAAATGATAAACTACGCTATTATATATGATATAATAAAGTAAATTTATGAGATTTTGCTTCATATTGGGCTTACTTGTAGCAATAAGCATGTGTCTGTAAGGTATCTTGTACACAAACATGGGACCAAACTATACAATTACAACAACAATAACACGTATTGCACCACTATTTTCAAGCTAACTGTTCCGTCGTTTTATCGGTCAATTGGAGATATTTACCCCGATCCAATTGATCAAAGTGATTCAGTGAGCCATTGTGATGTTTCTTTTCAATCATTTAGCACAGCCATAACATATTTTCCATATGCATATTCATATGTGTGTCGGACACTCTTCGTGTGTACCAATGGCTATTTTAGCAAAAAATCATAACTGCAGTTTTGGTAAAAAAAAATTTTTGGAAAGCGTTCAAATACAGAAATTGAAACGACCATTTAAAAAAAAAATTCTTTTATTATTCATCAAATGTCTACATTCAAAATGTAAATTTTATGTTACGATGTTCATCTGCATCGTCTTCATCCTCAATGGTGTGTTCGAAAACATGTTTGAAATATCGTTGATCGGTTGTTATTTTAGAGACAGTTGATCGATTTGATTGGCGACGGTCTTCCGTAAGGAAATGTTCCACAGCAGGTCGCACATCCCACTTTGCTAATGGTGGCATATTGAAGTGTATGTATAAGTAATAATTCTCTGTAGAAATTGTCAGTTTTGTGCGTTTGTTTGTTTTCAAATTGTTGTTGGCACTGATAATACGTTCGCAATCCGCCGAAAGCGGTGTGCAGGCGCCAATTCGGGAAATTACTGTGGTAATTTCGTTGAAATATTCAACACGATTCGGTTCTGATAAATATTTGATCAATTCGTGCAGTGGTTGACGCTTAATCTCTTCCGCTCAGTTTGACAAATCCATGTATTGTAAATGAAGTTGTGCCAAATCAAGATCTTTCCCGATTGTATCATGAATTGTGGTGATATCAAATGAATTTTCGAACTTCAAAAATTCATTGATCGTTTTCAGCAAATCTTCGTTTTCTCCTTCCATACGCGCTTTCAAATATTCCGACAATGCATCAATGGTTTTATTTCGCAATTTGTCGATTCCCAACGGCTGCCGGCGACTATGACCTTGTTGAGTCAACAGTTGTGCTGATATGCACTGTAGATTTTCCACTTGCCCACTTGAGGGTTATCCAAAATTCCTACTTTTTATAAATCAATAAAATACTTTTCGATGATGATAATAATTATTATAGATTCATCGTGTTTTCACTATTTTTTCAACTTCTAGAATATAGACTTCTCAAAGCCAACAATAACATCAACATGGCTAACAACTCGAAAACCACCTCAACCGTCCTTTACTCCAACTGTGTCTCCGCAAAAGATTACAACTACTCCAGCATCAACGTTTAAAACAACTACGACATCTGTTCAACTTATCATCTCAACACAACAACATTCTTTAACAGAGGAAGAAAATACGATATTTAGTGAAGCTTCACAACATGATTCAAATGATATTTTGGACGAAAATGTGGACAAACCAAAGCGATACACAATATCAGCAGCAAAAAGTGCAGGTATACCTATCAAATGTGAAAATCCAAATTAAATGTATCATCATAATAGCAAATTCAATGTTTTTGAAGATTGTGGAATATCCACGATTGGAAGACCTGAAACGCGTATAGTTGGGGGGAAAAATGCTCCGTTTGGTCGTTGGCCGTGGCAAGTATCAGTTCGCAGAACATCATTTTTTGGATTTTCAAGTACACATCGCTGTGGCGGTGCCATCATCAACGAAAATTGGATTGCGACTGCAGGGCATTGTGTCGATGAGTGAGTCCCATCAGCATTAATATTATTATTGTTGACTGAAATTTTTTTCAAGCAAATGACAATATCATCTGAAAAAATTAGAGAAACTAGAAGAATGTTTTTATTGAAAAAAAAGTTGAATAATCTTCTAAAAAAATGAAAAATCGTCTAAATAAAGACTTTAAAATACACAATAAAAACGTTTAAATTGTTTCCAAAAATGTCCAAGAATAAAACTATTGGTGAGATGTAAAAGAGAGTATGTCATTTCGATTTATATTTTTGGGTAGGAAAGTTCGTTTTCTGTGGATTTTTCTGCGTCAAAGTTTGTTATTTGTTTGTGGTACGGCTTTTTGCCCAATTGATAAAGGTTAAGAAATAATTGTTAGTGACGGTGACGTTCACTTATCATTTTCGCGAAAAACACAAAAAAAACCTTCAAAATTCACATGTTTCATGTTACGCTTCTATTGAAGCGACGATTCATGTAACGTTTTCAAGAAACAAATTCCATGTTGCATTTCAATCACTTCTGTATTCCTATTTTAATTCTCACCGATACAATTGATTTTGTCAATTTTTTTCGAGAACATTTTTGGAATAATTTGGTGATTTTTCGGAACGTTATATAGACGTTTTTGCTGTAAAAATATTACCTATTTAAATAGTTCGAATCACAATAAAAACAAAGTAAAAAACGTTTTGACGATGAAATCGTTCAATTACATAATTGTATCATGCTTTGAATGTCATCAGGTCTGATCTGAATGTCATTGAAAATATCACATAATGCAATATTTCAATATATTTGTTTAAAATTAATTTTCGTTTTACAGCTTGTTGACATCTCAAATTAGAATTCGGGTTGGGGAATATGATTTCTCACACGTCCAAGAAGAATTTCCATATGTTGAAAGAGCTGTTGCCCGTAAAATGGTTCATCCAAAGTATAATTTCTTTACGTATGAATTTGATTTGGCCTTAGTTCAACTAGATTCATCACTTGAATTTGCACCACATATTGCTCCAATTTGCCTACCGGGGACGGATGACCTCCTTATAGGTCGAAATGCGACAGGTAACAACACCAGTGAAAGTACATAATATTTAAAGTCCAAGGTGTGTTTAATCAGTAACTTCAAGTACACAATAGAAGCAAAAAAGCTTCTAAATATTTGACCATAAATTGTTTAAAATTCTATGATATTGCAAATGTTTGTGAGTATGAGAATCTAATGTTTAGCACAATAGTTTTAAGTGTTCACGCCATGGATAAATTTAGTATTTTTTCTATGGAGTTGTCGTTTTGGTCCTATATTACTATATTGGTCACAGAAAATGGATTAAGCTAATCTTTAATGATGACAAATCTTTCAAGATATTTTATAGTAATATTAAAATCAAAATTAATTCAACTGATTTCAGTAACTGGATGGGGGCGTTTATCCGAAGGGGGAACATTGCCGTCCGTGTTGCAGGAAGTTCAGGTTCCAATCGTTAGCAATGACCGATGCAAAATGATGTTCTTGAGAGCTGGTCGCCATGAGTTCATACCCGATATTTTCTTATGTGCTGGTCACGATACAGGGGGTCATGATTCTTGTCAAGGTGATTACAGATTTATATTTTCCCATATCGTATTAATATAAAAGTTGTGGCATTTATGATTAGTTGAAAACTAATGCTTATTTTTTGAAAATAGATTTTATTGTTATTAATGATAATATTAGTTCAATCAAAAATGATTTTCCGGCAATCGCTTATTGTTTTCGGAACAAGTACAATCTAGGGTGTTTTAGTATTTTTTTTCTCAAATCTCACTCCACCTCAATTCTTTATGTTCTCGACTTAGCTCGGTCTTACGTAAAAATTGTTCATTGAAATTCAGCTTTTAAAAACAATCATACGAAGAACTTGTTTCATTTTCACCATCGCTGCTTGACTGTCACTCAAACGTCGCAAACAACACACTCACTCAGAACGGAATTAATACAATGCCATTTACAACGGTGCATTTCAAGCCAAATATCAAAAATGCCAGTTTTTGCGTCACGAGTATATATACAGTAAATATGCTATTTTCTCAGGGCACTATTTGGGCTCCGGCATGCTAGGTACCGTTGGAAAGGTCTTGGCCCAAATAGTCGGAAACACCATATCCCCCATGCCTAAAGTGTGGTCTAGGTAAAAATATAGCGGTTGGAAAATTTCGATAAATTTCCAAATCTATACCCATATCTTACGAAGGGGGTACCCAGGGGGTGGTCTGAGGTGTCCAAGAGAAGCCCCCTCGCCACCTTTCTAACGCCGGTCTAAGTGCCCCGATTGGTTCAAAAACGAAAAAGTTATGGGCATTGGTAGTTTGGTCTTGATTTTTTATGAAAGTATTGATTTGTGTGTCCGTTCGTGTGTCCGGAAACTTTTTTGACCCCCACAGATTCCGGTGCCGATATGCCTAAGCTGTAGCTGGTGTCGGGCCACATCGAAACCCGTCCTCAGATTGACATTTGCATTACAGGTAATGCTCGTAATTATTTGAGAAGACCTTCAAAAAGTTCCATACACACATGCCAATGTTTATGTGATATAAAAGAAAAAAGTCGATTTTTATGTAAAATCGACCCTCTTAAATTTCACACCAAACCAGACGTGTGCAAGAGGGGGGGTATTCCGGTTTTACCCCCCTCTAGGATTCCAAAATGTGGACCCCCCCTACCGATTTGGAAAATTTGACACTAGATATAATCGATTTTCAAAATGAGGACCTTTTTTTTAGGTCTTCACTTGTTTTTTGACACCCATTGGCAAAATTCTAGACCCCCATTGTGGAATTTTGACTGTTTTACACTAGATAGAATCGATTTTAAAAAGTGAGGACCTTTTTTTTTTTTTAGTCCTCACTTTTTTCGGAGACTGGTTTTACACTAGATAGAATCGATTTCCAGACCCCCCCTGGCAAAATCATTTTACCCCCCCTAGAATTTTTGACCTTGCACACGTCTGCACCAAACGCGATTTCTCAAAAATCAGCCCGACAATCTTTTATCAAAAACTGAGCGTTTGTAGCCGGCTACCATACCAACAAAATGGCATATGCCATATATCCGGGAAAATTCGTATTTCGAAGTTCTGGGCATAGGCAATTCATCAATGAACGGAATTTGTACGAAGAGTCGCATTCTACGATGAAATTGCTGCCAAAAATACGCATCCACTGGCTGGAAAAGGCTCACGAAAGACCATATCCGCTCAATTTTCGACGAGCAATCGATTAAAAGTGGTCACAATGCGATCTGAGGCCATTTCATGGTCGAAAAATAGGTCGGATTGAAGTGAATTTTTCAACTTGCTCTATTTTCACTGAAAATGACATTTTTGTTCGGAAAACACGTGAAATAGACCTCTGACGACATTTTGGTCTGGGAAAACTGCTATTTTTTCGTGAAAATAATGGGAGTCCGCGAACACTTGAATATCCATTTCGTTGTCATTTTGGTCATAAATCGGCATTTTTGCATCTGAATGCATGAAATTGAACTTTTGTTCGGGGGATACATAACAAATGCACTTTCCAGAGCTTTGATGGTTGGAAATTAATATGTTTCAATGAAGTAATGGGTCCAAAATTACTTCAAAACTCTTTTAATGGATATTTTGAAATTCAATCACATTTTACAATGCCCAATAAGGGAAAATGGGACTTTTTTTTAATGAAAGTGGAAATTTGCTATTTACAAAACTTGCGAAATGTGGATGCAAATGTTTTACCCGAAAAATTACAATTTCCCAATGATAAGACCTTAAAATAGACATATTTCTGGCAAAAGTGTATTTTTTCCGAGAATAATTGCCTTACAAAATTAGTGATATCAGATGAAAAACCTCTAGACGAGGTTAAAATGGAGTGACGCTCCTGTGCGTGGATTTAGCACTCAAAATGACTGATATCATTTTGAGTGACGCTAGGACGCTGTATTATCACTACATACGAGGTTCAAAAGTATTTTTCGCATTCACTATTGTGAAAATTTACTCACAATAAGGAAAAATATCGCGTCACGACTTTTAGACGACAAAACGCTTGAAAACTTGATCTAAAATCAAAAGTCGTGACGCGATATTTTTCCTTATTGTGAGTAAATTTTCGCAATAGTGAATGCGAAAAATACTTTTGAACTTTGTATCCAGAGATAAACCAGCGTCCTAGCGTCACTCAAAATGATATCAGTCATTTTGAGTGGTAAATCCACGCACAGGAGCGTCACTCCATTTTAACCTCGTCTAGAGGTTTTTCATCTGATTATATTTACCACTATTTTATGCAAGGTTCCGATATAAGAATCTTTCGGAGTTTGGGTCTACAGGCTACCCACTTTTCATTTATTTTGATATTGAATCGACAATTGAAACATTCAGTTCTTTCAAAAATTATACTTCTGAATGTTAAAATATAGAAATGCTACCAGTTACAATGCTATCTCAAATATGATATACGAAATGTTAGCTTCAGAGCGTGTTGTGAGCCGATGTCAGCAGCACTAACCACTAACTAACGTCAGCTGCTGACGAGTATGCGTTGCGTTGTTTTAACGCATTTGCAGTATAAGAACGAAATGGTGAGTAAACTTACCATTGGTATGTTTAATCTCACCAATGGTAAGTTAACTCTCCCTTTCGTTTTTATACTGCAAATGCGTTAAAACCACGCATACTCGTCAGCAGCTGACGTTAGTTAGTGCTGCTTACATCAGCTCATAACACGCCCTGGTTAGCTTCAACAAAGTTATTGGATTCGTCAAGTATACATTGTATACATTCATAATTTTTAAAAATCTAATAAACATTTCCGCGATTCTATTGCTAAACTCCATCAGAAAGTCTTATACTCTCATTTATTTTGTTAATGGGAAAATGAAAAATAAAATACGTGAACGAAGTTTCTGCAAACAATCAAAAGTCGGTTTTGCGTACGTAAGATTATAACTAAAAGGGCTCAAATTCCATTTTCTTCCTGATTACCGGCGGCTTTATTAATTTTCCGCAAACTTGGTTTGTTAAGGAAAAGTATTGGTTTCACTCCCCAGAATTTCATGACATCTTATCCTACAAACTGTCGCATCAAACTGCTTTTAGCACATAACTGTACAATGTACAGTGTACAGTGTACACTAGGCAATGTAGATGGGAACAAATCCTATCGATCAAGACCTATCTGCCCCCAAAAATATATTGTTTACTACGAAAAATCTGTAAAATTGCGATGTGCGTATGGCGTCGTTCGCGTCCGAGATTTTTGTTCGGATAAAGGATGCCTTTGAACAACTAAACACCTACTTTCCCAAAAATTTGGTCCAAAATCGACATTTCTTTAAATTTGCTCCAAAAATGACAAGATGAAATGATTGTTCTAGTTTCTAGGCAAGGTAATAAATTTCTATGATTGTTGTCTCATATCTGTTTTTTTTTTTGTAAAAATTGTGATGTTTCAACAAATAGTACTCTTTGTAATACAAAGTCTGTATGAAATCTTTTCTGATTCAAAGATAAATTGACTTACTGGTTAATGGTCAATGACTTGGTGAGTCTAATGAATTAATTAGTAAATCGTTTTCTGAAGCGGAATGTAGGGAAAAATGATGCGGTGCGGAAACGTTTGGATTACGTATGTAATTCGTTTTATTTTATTTTGGTTTCAGCATTTTCGAACAGCGAAAAATGAATAAAATATAAGTGTGTTGTGGAACAACTAACATGAACAGTTACATTTCTGCAGAAAAGCTACACTTGAAATGCTATAAAAGACGGTACTAAAAAGCGTCAACTTTAAAAAAAATAAAGTTTTTGTTTTTAAACAGATGTATGTACTAGTTTACAAAAAGTTTATTATGTAATTCTCGACAGTCGCTAAAAAATTCTTTCCACTGAATTTATTCTTGTCCATTTTATGTGCAAAGTGTCGTAGCAGCACGGCACAATGTGGTTTGCCTTTCGTTATTTATCAGAAAAGACATAATTCTCTTTCATACTGCCCTGAAGCCACGATAATTAAACTATCGCTCTCGCAGTGGCCAATCTGAACGGACAGGTTTTCTCTCATTTTGAAAGAAGGAAGAACGCAACAAAATTACTCAGAAGACAAACTTGGAAAGAGATCAAATTCAAGTGGAAACCATAACACCTGTAATAAAAGTCTCCGGAGAAATTTCAAACGTTCGCCTCGCACGCAGTTAAGTAGGTAACCCTAAAAATGTTCATATGGCAAATCCAGTAGATTATTTTGGAAATAAGTTCAAAAAGGTTTAAAAAAACGTGTATGTATGAAAGTTATTAAATCGTTCGGGAGACGATTTATATCACAAAATTCAGGACCTTAATAAATATTCAGAAATGAATATTTGTTTTGTTTAATTGCTGCGATAAGAACCTCTAGGCAGAAGATTTGCAAAGGTAATCAGCAGAAAAAATCACATCCCTTGTTGTCCCATACATTCATGTGATAGATATAGTAGAAGATTTTTGATTTAGTGACTCAATAATCATCAATTGGTTGATTGTAAAATGCAAAACCAATTTTACAGAGACTTCTATCTATTTGATATTTTCTTATGCTCAATTATTAGAGTTATTTAAGTTTCTCAAGATTTGTGTT